ACAACTGGAGACTGGTGAGAAAGGGCTTAGGGATTAGACACTGATACCTAGGAAGGTAAGGGACTTAACGGGGCATTTGGGTGTGGGAAATGGGGCTGGGAGAGGATTTGTGTCTTCACAAAGCTGGGGTGGACTGCTGAAGTGAGTAGGAAGTGGAGCTCCCGGGGAGGAGTGGGAAAGGTTCAGTTTCCCACTGTTTGTCCCTTCACAAATGATCCATAAAAGAAATGATAACTGATCCCTTCCCCTTGTGTGGCTACCACTTTGCCAACTGTTGTGTTACTTGGAATTCTCACAGTGGCCTCTGGGAAGAGAGGCAAGGATTAGTTCTCTCCCCAAGGTCCAGCTCCTGGAGAAGGCTGGTGACCTAGGGCAGCTGGGGCCCACATGGCAGGGCTGGGAGGAGGGGAGCAGACTTGATCAGGTCGGGACCTTTCTGCACCGCTGCCAGTGAGCACAAGGGCTTTCCAGAGAGTTCCTGCTGCTCTGGCCCAGTGGAAATGAGTGTTCCACAAATATTTGTTGAAGGGTTTAAAAGACCGTTCTTTTCAACTCTCAAATCACTTCTCTGATTTCTGTGTCACCCTCTTTTCCACCGACATCACCAGATCTGAGGTCAGGGCACAGACGATGAGGGCTGATCTCAAGCCAATGCACTCTATTTTGTGGGGAAGTCACCAAGGCCCAGTGGGCATGGACAAGCAGCTCCAACAGGCCCCATGCATGCTGGCTGCTGAATAGTCACTGCAGCACGTGATCTCAGAGATCTGACTGTGTACAGCCCAGACTCTGGACTCCCACTCCAGTGCTCATCCCTGTGCCTAGAGATGCCTCCCAGAAGAATCTAAACTCTGCAGCCCCAACTTCCAAAACTAGGAGCCCCCCAACACACCCCTCCTAGATCCCTGCACCCCAGCAACCTTCTTTCAGCTATTCACACTTTTCATGCTTCCCCCCACAATAGTCCCCAGCAAGGCTGTGCTCACAATAACCCCATTATACCAGGATCTCACCTCCAGCCTGCCTGACCCAGGAGGCCAGTTTCTTCCTGTTGGGCCAGAATGTCCCCTGGCACAATACAAAGGAGTCCATGTCAAGGTCAGGAAAGAGGGGGCTTTTGGTTGGCAGAGCTCATGCCCCATTGGCAGTTCAGAGAGAAGTTCCTGGTAACAGCACTGGATTAGGGCCTTGAAGGCTAAGGAGGAAACAGGACAGAACAACTCTGATAGTTTGGAGGGCAGAGATGTGTTTGAGGAACAGCACGGAGCAGCTCTGACTGAAATAAAAGTGTGTGGAAGGGGATGAGTGGTGATGAGGCTACAGGGATACTGGAAAGAGATGCAGAGTTGACCTTGAATGCAAGTCAGTGGGATTGGGGTGACTTCAGAAGGAACTGGGAAGTCATCGAAGGTTCTTGAAGGAAGGACCCCAACATACCTATCAGGGAGGCTGAATTATAGGGCAGGGGATGGGAAATCGAGAACAGGTGAGAGTAAGGAGAGACTCTCTCTTAATAACCAGCTCGGAGGAGTTTACCAGATTATTTATCTAGGATTTATACTATCAGATTAACTAACTGTTTCCCAGAGGGCCAGTGGAGGAGTTAGTGTTAGTGGAGTCCAGCATTAGTGGAGGAGGAGAAGCAGGCAGCCGCAGAATCTGCAAGGGGCAGAATGGAGAGAGAGTTTTTTATTTGGGGTTTTATCTTGAGTAACTCTAAATTCAGGGCTGATGGAGTTGGGTGGGGTTGGGGACTGTTTCCTGGTAGGTGACAGTGTTGCTGTGTTTTCCCAGGTATCCTCTGCAGACAGCCCAGGCCAGTCCGTACCTTGGCCTGAGGGCACCTGACCTGCCCACTTTTTTTTTTTTTCTTTTAATCTTGCTCTGTAGTTCAGTCTGGCCTTTAACTCACTATGTAGCCCAGGCTAGTCCCCAAATTTTCAGAGATCCTCCTGCCTCAGCCTCCTGAGTGCTGGGATTATAGGCATTGCCGCCATTCCCAGCAACCTTCCCACTTTAGAGAATTGTGCTACACTTAATTGAGAAGCTAGATCTGAAAGTGCATTGTAAACTGTAAAGTACTGACCCAAAACAGGGGCTGTAATGTTTTCCTTTGAGTAGACTCTGCTCTGTAAAGAACTCTGTAAAGACTCAACCTCTGGGAGGCTCTTAAAGATTTTAGCCATGCCAGGAGTGGTGGTGCACACCTATAATCCCAGCTACTTGGGAGGCTGAGGCAGGAAGATTGCAAGTTTAAGGCCAGCCTGTGCAATTTAGTGAGATCTGGTTTCAAAGTAAAAAAATAAAAGGGGTTGGGAATGTACCTCAGTGTGAAGTCCTGGGTTCAATCGCCAGTACTGTGTAAAAAAAGAAAAAGCTCTTCACAGTGTATCTAGTAAGGAAGGCAGCTCTACCATGGCCCAGGCCAAAATCAGATGGGCTTCAACTAGGGCAGGACTGGAGGGACTTTAAGAAAACTCTTTGTAGAGGTGGGGTTTGGGGCCTCCCAGCCATAGGGCTGGACCCCCCTACCCTCACTCTGTAGCATGCAGCAGAGGAGAGGCAGCAAGTGTCTGGGAATTTAGAAAGGACAGAATTTGCTTTGGATGGAAGAATCATAGAAGGCTTCATGAAGGGAGTAGCATTTGACCTGGGCCTTAAAACATGGGGTAGGAGGGGACATGGAAGGGTGAGATCTTCCAGGTGTCCTTAACAGGTTTGCTGCTTCCTGTCTCTGCCTTCTACTGCCTCTGGGTGAGGAGAGAGATGGAGAGCATTTTGAGGTAGTTGGGGCACAGATATGGGAGATGGGATGCCTGTAAATTCCTCCGGCCTGGCTCTCCATTAATTCCAGGAAGACGAGGGTATGCCTGAGCTCTGTGCCAGGCACTGGGCACTCTACATCTGTCATGCCACTAACGACTTTGGGCCTCAGTTTCCCCTGCTAAATGAGACAAGCTGTGTGAGCCCTGAATGATGTATGATTATTTCTCCCTTCACCTGTACTTGGCTCCATATTGGAGCATTTCTTACATTTGTGCATTCATTGTATGTCTATTAACAATCCCTGTATGAAGGCTGCTGTGCTGGGGATGTGGGCCTTGTAGGGTCATGGATGAGTGAGACAAGGCACTGAACCCAAGGACCTCATGACCTAGTAGGGCAGATGCTATTAAGCAAGGCCACATAAGGTACCCTCCCTGCCCACTCTCTCCCCACCTCTATAGATGTAACCTCAATTCCCACCAACCAACAAAACTTAGCTCATGCCATTTAGTTAGCATGGATTGAATGAGTCTCCCTTCCATGTCCCCTCCTACCCCATATTTTAAGGCCCAGGTCAAATGCTACTCCCTTCATAAAGCCTTGTATGATTCTTCCATCCAAAGCAAATTCTGTCCCTTCTAAATTCCCAGACACTTGCTGCCTCTCCTCAGGACATTTCTCTCTTGTATTCTAGTGGTGGGTGTCCATCTCTTATTTTTGGGAGGGCATGGTGGCTTCAAATCATTTCTGGGCTCCAGAACAGTACCTGCAGCCTGGCATGGTGTAGGAGGAAAAAGTGGCCTGAGGCACATGACCAGGTGGTACCATGTGGAGGTAGGATTAAAGTGGCAGGGGACCCAGACAGAGGGGGAAGGCCATAGAGCTCGAACTGAAAGAAGGAAATGGCCTCATGGGCAGAAGCAGTGACTGAGGTGTGGCTGGACAGTTAGATGGTGTAGGCCAGACAGGAATCTGTGGGCTTGTTGCTGCCAGATCAGAGCATCCATCCCACAAGACAGACTTGCCACCACCAAGGAGGCTGCAGCTCTAACCCATGAATGAGAGCTGGGAAGCAGATGAGCTGACACCAGACAGGCCTGCTTTCTTTGGGCCACTGCTTTCACTGTGGCTTCCTCTGTGTCCACCCACAGGTGAAGGCTGGCCAGGAAGGCAACAAAGGGAGGCTGCACAGGGCAGGCTGGGAAGCGGTTACCAGAAGGCAGCCCTGTGCTAGGTGTTACCTGTTGTGAATTTTGTCTATTAGTTCCCCTTAGCCTCCTACTGACTTGAGGTCTGGATTATCTTCCCCAATTGGTGAACAAAGTCACTTGCTGGTGAAATCTCTAGCAAGAGTGGAGAATTTGGCATTCAAACCCAAGCCATCTGATTGCCAGAGAAGAAACCCTCCTCCTCGCCAGCTGAGGTGTGAGGCCTCAGGAGTGGCTTCCCAAGAGGAGGAAAGTCAAAAGCAGAGGACAGGACTCTGGGTGGACAGACCAAGGTCTGTGCCTCCTTTCCCTTCTGTCTGCCCTGTTCTTCCCCCTACCTTCCCAGACCAGAGCGTCCATCCCACAAGTCAGACTTGCCACCACCCAGGAGGCCGTAGCTCCAGCCCATGAGTGAGAGCCACGAAGCAGATGAGCTGATGCCAGACAGGCCTGCTTTCTTTGGGCCTGCTTTCTTTTCAGGTGGAGGGGAAAGACCCCAAGCAGGGCTGGCAGCAGCAATCATAAAAAGATTGCAGGACAGATGGAGGGCAAGTGCACCAGGGCGGAAGGGCCAACACCACAGCTCTCAGAGACAGAGAGATGCTAGGGTTAGAGGACGTGGCCCCTCACAGGGGCATCAGGTGCCACTCTCTATGGCTGATGGGAGGAGAGGAGGCAAGGAGCGGTGAGGATCTGCCCCACAGAGTCTGCTCTTAGATGAGGTCATTAGCTACGTAGTGCCTTTCAGTCTCCCTCAGTCTCCTCGTAGTTCCGTAATTCCGACAGGGAAGTGGGCCCAGGCAACTCAGGAGTCTCACCTTAGGTCACACTGAGCTCTAACGGCACATTTAGGAGCCAGCCCCGGGCCTCTTGACCTCGGGAGGCCACGTGGCCGTCGTCCCGGTGGGCACTCGGGCTGGCCTCCCGCCGCCCCCAAGGGGCAAGAGTCAGAGCTTCGGTGCGCCCCGCCCCGCCCCGCCCCGCCCCGCCCCGCCCCCGGTATCCTTTAAGAGGCGGAGCTTGGCTGCCCGCCCCGCGGCCCGGGCAGGAGGCTGGGACTTCACTCCGCGGCGGCAGCGGAGAACCAGCCCGAGCTCCGCATCAGCTGCCGCACCGCCGCGCCCGGGCCGGAGCTACGATGAGCGGCAGAGTGGGAGACCTAAGTCCCAAACAGAAAGAGGCACTGGCCAAGGTGAGCCCTCACCCTGACCCAGGTCCCCGCCCCGGGCTGTGGCCGGCGCCCACCGGTGGAAGCAGCTGCTGGGGGGGGGGGGGGCGAGGGATGTTCCCCGCGGGCGGGCGATAAGGGAGCATCCGCCGCCTCGGCTTGGCTGCTGCCCAGCCGGCTGCTCTGCCCGCCTAGGGGACCCCGGAAAGTTTGGCCACCCGGCCTCAGCCCCAAGCAGCCCTGGCAGTGCCACCTGGGAAGAAGTGGTTGCTTGGAAGCCCTCAGAGGCAGCTGAGGGCACAAAGGCAACATTCATCCCCGGGGCTGGCAGGAACTGGCAGCCAGGCCGGGACAGGGGCAGGGCCCCAGGTTTCCTCCCATTTCCGGAGGTTTTCCTCCTGCTGGTGCAGCGGTTGATGGAGAGGGCCCTGGACAGCTCCTTAGGAGACTCGGACAGCCTTTGCTGGGCAGCAAGTCTCCGTGCGACCTTGGGCAAAGCCCTGTCCTTCTCTGCTCCTTAGGTAAAGCACGGGGGGGCGGCTGGAGCAGCTGGTGTTGAAGGGAGCATCTCTGTGAGTGAGCCTGAGATCCCTCCCCGGGACTCACATTAGTTTGAGCAGAGACCTGTCTTACTCTCTCTTGCAACTCAGACCGCTGCCTGTCTGGGGACTTAAGTTGATACTTCTCAGAAGGCAAGGAGGTGAGAGACAACAGCCCAAGGGCTGGACCCCTGCCACACCAACTCCATCACCTCTTCCCCGTTGTCCCGGGAGAGGGAAGGTCGGCTCTTCTCTGGGGCAGTGTAGATTGACTGGGCCGAGGTTTGGAGGTTCCACAGCTGGACCGTTTTCCATTCCTGGGAAAGGGGGACAGATGTCTCCTGCCCTAGTGGAGGTGGCTGTGGGGGAACTGGACCCATGAAGTTTTTCGAAGCCCCCCCTTCTCCATCTCAAGAAAGCTGGATAGGAGCCTTCAGATTTTCCTGCCGACCTGCAAGGGAAGCCAGGCAGAAGAGGGATTAAGTGTTACTTAGGCTGGAAACCAGGGCCTGGGTAGGGTCCTTGGTGAGGGTGGCTTCACGCCTGAAGTTTTGGGGCTTTTTTGTTTTTAAAAAATTTTTTTGGTACTGGGGAATCAAACTCAGGACCTTGCGCTTGCCAGGCAGATACTGTGCCACCGAGCTACATCCCCAGCCGCAGGCCTGCAATTTGACGAGCAGTTTCTGTGGTGCACTCCTAGCTGCTTTGGGGAGTGGGAGGGTCTGAGTACACAGCTGACCTAGGCTAGGGGCAGAGGTGGCCCCCCTCATTGGTCCCTGCTGGGGTTGTCCTGTAGGTCAGTGGCCAGGGAAAGGTGAGTGGCTGGGGTAGGAGGCTCAAGGAGGGCAGTTGGGGGCCTGGTCATCAGCAAGGCAGTGAGAGACAGGAGGTGGGTGTGGCTGTCCCTTGGGGTCACTGTCCGCTCCCTTGTTTGGCTCTACCTGAACTTTCACCTTTCATGACTTCCTGCTGGAACTCTTCCCCCCACCTGGATGGTCTGCCCCCTCCCTCTGTTGCTTTTGAAGCGCTTCAAGCCCAGCTCAAATGCCACAGTGCCATTTTTTTATGTAGAGTCACGAAAACACCCTCCTCCTTTACTCCCCAGCACACTTCTCCCCATTCCAGAACCAAGAGGGCAGAAGACCACAGTTGAAAGAGTGTGTATCCCAGACAGACCTGGACTTATATTATAGCTCTGCTTGTTACTGCCTCTTTGACCTTGGACAAGTTACTTAGCCTCTCTGGGCTCTCATTCCTTCATCTGTAAAACGGGGATGGTGACAACTGGGGTCCCTGAGTGAGAAGTGAATGATTCAGTGCTGTACAGGTGGGGAATGCTTGCGGTACTGACACCTTTTAGAGTAGCATGTGCCAGAGGACCTGTTATCACAGTTAGCTAGGAACTCACCCACCTACCTCCAGACTGGTGTGCAGAAGGGCTCGAAGAAAGGCAGGGGCAGTGTCGTGTACCCTTTGTATCTCCCCTACTACCAGGCACCCCTTGGCAAGATAGAGTGCTCCATGCAGCACCAGTACTCAGCCAACTGTGTAAAAGAGGGATTCAGCAAAGGCTGTCATGGAGACTCCTGGCCAGAGAGCTCTCAAGGTGGGATTTACCACTCACCCAGTTGCCTCTCCCTACAGTTTCGGGAGAATGTCCAGGACGTGTTGCCTACCCTGCCGAATCCAGATGACTATTTTCTCCTACGCTGGCTCCGAGGTGAGGGAAGAGGGGCTGTGGGAGGCTAGGGCAGAGGCTGGCTCTGGACACCAGAATGGTACCCTTGAATTTGAGAGTTTGGGGTGATCAGCCTTTAGAGTCAAAAAGGTGCTTGGCAATTACAAAACTCAGTCCTCCTATTGGACAGATAGAGACACTGAGGCTCAGAGAGGTGAAGTGACTTGCTTCAAGTCACACTCTCTGCAGAAGAGAGTGGTATGCTGGTATCCTGGTATGCTGTCAGCCCCACACCCTTTCCATCTGCTCCATAAACCGGCTTGGCTGGTGGACTGGGGGAAATGGACTGAGGAAAAGTGGCCATGTGGGAAATTGGAGGCAGTGCCTGGGTTAGAGGCAGAGTTCTGGTTCTAGGGAGAGGCTGGCCTGCTCTGTGCCCTGTTGGGTGACGGCCTTCCCTGCTTCTAGGAGCCCAGGCATCTTGAAGGAGGGCAGTGTGCATTGAGAACGTGGGGGCTCAGACTCTTCACACTCTGCCAGGTTCTAGGGCTCGAGTTCTAGCTCAGGCTCTGCCCTGACCTGGCATCTGGGCCAAGGTCCCACGTCTTCCCTAAGCAACTCCCTGCAAAACAAGATGAGAACTGACACCCTGCCTGTTGCAAGCTATGACAGGACTGTGCCCTGCATGTGGTGATGACACATATGTGTTGCTGCTAGCATCATCAGGATCAAACTCAGGCCCACTTCCAACTCCTGAAGCCTTTCTGTTCACTTCTCCATTCTCCTTTCCTGTGAGTCAAGTCAGGTGGTGCCCAGGGATTCTTCTAACATACTTTTAAAAATAATTTTGGCTCTGGCGGTGATTCTGGTGATTGAATCCAGGGCTTCATGCGTGCTAGGCAAGTGCGCTACCTCTAAGCTAAATTCTCAGCCCATTCATTTGAGACAGGGTCTTACTAAATTAGTCAGGTTGCCCTTGAACTTGAGTTTCTTCTGCCATAGCCTCCTGAGTAGCTGGGATTACAGATGTGTGCCACTGCACCTGGCTTTTTTTTTCTTTATAGAATTTTTATTGTCGGACATAGAAATAATAAAATTCTACTGTGTTAGATTAGTACAGCTCAAGTTGTGATGTAGAATCATATCCCCAAATATTAAAGCATTATTTATTTGTGGACACATAAATCTACGTGCCCTAGGAATCCTGGGACAGGTGAAAAATATAGTTTCCCTTTCCAGAAACTTGATAGAGCTGGCAGTTCTTGAGGGCCTGCTACAAATACCTGAGAGCAGGTGAATCCAGAATAGCCAAGTGGGGCCTCATGTACCTGTGGAAGTGTCACTTATCTATTTCCCCAAAAAGCTGTGATCCCTACCCCCAACATCCTCCGTCTAACTCCACCCAGAGAGGGTGGAGGGGCAGCGTGGGTGTGGGAGTGGATTCAGATCAGGGTGGAGGAAATTTTGGCCCAGCATTTGACAAAGGCTAGAGCTGAAAGCAGGTGGGTGGAGAGAGTGGGAAGACAGTGGCCTCCTTAAAGAGCCAGCTGGAAGCTCATCAAACCAACTATGCTGCTAGGAGATGTGTGGTTTCAGAGAACTGTTGAACAGCAACGTAGCTCTCTTTTATCTAGGAAGAGCCCGGTGTGGGGTCCTGGCAGCTAGTCTCCCAGACACCTAACCCTCCCTAGCTCCTAAGTCCTGGGATAACTCCTTTTTGCATAAGACTTGATATGTGTTCACCAAGCACACATATCATAGGACTGTCAAAGAGTGTGGTCACCCCGATCTGCAGAAGAAAAATAAGGCTCAGAGAAGGTGAGGGACTTACCCAAAGCACACAGCCAGTACAAAGCAGAGTCAGGGAAGACACTTAGATTCCTGGCCAGTACCCTTTCCCGTACACTACAGCATCCTCTCCAGTAAGCCAGAGCTGCTCCTAAAGCCAAGTTCTGCAAACAGAGGAAGTGTCTCCTCCTTATTTCATTTGTGCCTCACATTTCCTGGGCAGGAGCTCAGGCCTGGTCAGACCCTATTATGAATTTCAATCAGGGTTTTTGTTGCCTTAAACAAAACAAAAAATCCTTTTTCCTTTTCTCCCTTTGAATCTAAAGGAGACATTTGTGAGCTGCAAACCAGCAGAATATCTTTCTCTAACCCAAGTGTGAGCTTTGGGTTCAGTTTTCTTTTCTTTTCTTTTCTTTTCTTTCTTTTTTTTTTTTTTTGGTACTGGGGATCAAACTCGGGACCTTGCGCTTGTGAGGCAGGTGCTGGAACCACTGAGCTAAATCCCTGGGCCTGGGTTCAGTTTTTCGCTGACCCCTAGATAGCTAAAGCAGGTACACAAGTCCTTCCTGCCTCTCCACGGTGGGGGCTGAGCTCTGGGCACCCCAGCAAGAAGGGTCAGATAGCAAAGAGGAGGAAAAAAGGAGTTTGTAGAAACCCTGGGAGGGAGGCAGAGCAAGTCTGAGTCTCAGCATTTTACAGCACTAAGGTGTAGGTAAAAAGGAAGCAGGGTGGCTGCTTGAAGGTGAGATTCTCTTGTAGGGCCTCGAGCCAGGCTTTGAGCTGCCTCGAAGCAGGGAAGCTGGAGCCCTGGAGAGGCCCAACTTAGCAGGAACAGGTGAGGTGCTGCCAGGACAGTGGCTACTCAGGGAGAGCCCTTGCAGAAGGCATTGGAGTTGGACCCTAGCAGATAAGGGCCAACTGGAGAGCTTCCCCCAGATAAGGGGGCTCACAGATTACCACCACTCCACCCTGGTTCTCTAGGAAGAGGAGGAGTGTTCTTTCTATGGCAGATTTCCATTTTCATCCCCCAGTTCCTCTATATGAGAGGATGTTTTGCATCTTACTCTTTCTAGCTTGTTAGATGGTTTGGCCTGAGATGTGCAGCATTTTGTCCAAGGTCCAGCAGAAAAGTAGAAGAGCTGGGATGCAAACCCACACTATATTTTTCTAAATGCTTCCCCAGGCTGCCAGAATGGCACAGGAAGGGCACAGGAGGAATGAACCAAGACCAGGTCTCAAGGGTGGCTGCTGAATTCTGCCAGTATGTGTCCAGTACCTTTCATGGGCACGGCATTGGTCAGCCTTCTTGGTGCAACCTCTGGGCCTAGGAGACAGGACTGGAATTCACAACAGTAAAGTCAGGGAATGAGCTCAGCTGCTCCCGGAGAGTAATGATGAAGGGACCAGTGACCTTTCTGGCCCAGGTTCTAGGGCTGTCAGCAGATCTAGATGCCAATCAAGTCCATGGATCATATACAGGTAGGAGGGACAGTTCATAGGTCAGATGCCAAATTGGTTATAATCTAGAACTCAAAACCTCTTCAAAAGAGATGAAATTTACTGTATGGAGATGAAATCTGATAGGGATAGATCAAAGGTCCCACCTCTTCATGTATGGAACAGAGGCTTAGTGGCAGCACAGGTGCAAAGGATTTGGGGGTTTCAGTTGACTAAATTCTACTGAGCTAAGGATTTTACCATTACCAAGAAAATTCTTATGCTTTATTGGAAAAGGAAAACAACACCTGGGAGTATGCTTGGCTCTGGGTAGCTTGCTCCAAGAGAAGCCCTAGCAAACTGGAAAACATCCAAAGGGAAGTTATTTGGATGAAGCCGAGCAGGAGGAACAGTTAAAGGTTCCAAGGACATCTAGCATGGTAGTAGGGAGATCTGAGGTGACAGCCCAGAATTTGCCTGTGCTGGAAGGGTTGTCATGTGGCTATGGAAGCAGCCCTGTTTTCTGAGTGTCTCAAAAGTGGAGCTCAGCTCAGGAAGAGAAGTAAGTATAGGTGGCAGCTGTGATTGTCTGAGAACAAGTGGCCCTGGGAGACCGTGAGGTCATTGTGTTCAAATATGAGCAGGACAGCTTGGAGTTCATGCATAAAATAAAGTGAACTTTTTTTTTGGTTCCGGGGATTGAACCTGGGACCTTGCACTTGCAAGGCAGGCACGGTGCCACTGAGCTAAATCCCTGGCCCCTAAAGTGAACTTTTTAATTCAGCCTTCCAGAATTCTTTGTGTTCCTTTCAGGTATGTGTTGATCCTTTAAGGACATGAGAAGATTGACTGGAGGCTCATCCACTCCTCTCTCTCTCACTGGGATGTGCCGCCAGCCCTGCTCCAGATTACAGGGCAGCTATGTTCATCTTTGAACTGTGGGTCAGTTTCTCAGGGTCGGATATTAGACTATGGAGGAGATAAAGAGGGCAAATGATAAAGGGGTCCAGGGTTCAGTTTCCCTGAGAAGAGATAAGACCCTCTACCTGACTGCATCCACTAGGGTAAAATTCTTGAGTCTGGGGTTGCACTGCTGCATCTGGAAATTCCCTGAAGTTGACCTACTCTCTTGACAAGCCCAGGGGCTGTGGTGCCTTGGAAGCCCATGGTGGCGAACCTTATGTTAGCTACTGTGCATGGGATGACCTGAGTCAGCTGGGGTGGGGGGGATGTACCAAGAGGACTTGCTGCAGCAAGGGAAAAGGTTAATTCCATTGCATGCCCAGGTCACTAGCCTAACCCTCACCACATTTCCTTGTTACAGCAAGAAGTTTTGACCTGCAGAAGTCAGAGGCCATGCTACGGAAGGTGAGATCTGTCTGGCTTTTTGCCTCAGTTTCTCCCCATCAGAAGCATACTTTGCTTGGATTCTTTTCCCACCCCCACCCACTCCAGTGGCAGCCTTTGGCTTGTGTGACATATCTGAGTATTAGCTGACCGTTGTTGCCTTATCCCTGTGGGACAAAGTGCATTCCCTTTCTGGGAAATGCAGAGCTTTCATAGTTCTTGGACAGCCAAGGATGATAATCTGCTGTGTTGAGACTTCTAAAACAGGTAGGGTCTTCTGTTCCATTCTTGCCTAGAGCTTTCTAGTGACCAGCTGTGGTCTGGTGGTTGGTACATGCTGTCATTTATTGCTAAATGCGTATTAAGGGTTCCCACCCATTCCTCCCTATCTCCTGCTTTTAAAAATATCTCTGTGGGGCCGGGGATTTAGCTCAGTGGTTTCACTGCCTGCTGTGCAAGCACAAGGACCTGAGTTCGATCCCCGGAACCAAAAAAACCCCCAAAAAACAAAAAAATATCTCTGTGGCTGGGTATGATGACCTGTGTGGTACACCTGTAATCCCAGCACTCCAAAGGCTGAGGCAGGAGGATCACTATGACTTTGAGGCCAGCCTGGGCTACATAGTGAGTTCAAGGCCAGCCTGAACTACAAAGCAAGAGCCTGTCTCAAAAAATAAAATAAAATAAATTTCTCTGTTTTCAGCATGTGGAGTTCCGAAAGCAAAAAGACATTGATAACATCATTAGCTGGCAGCCTCCAGAGGTGAGGACAAATGATCCTGGCCATCCCTATACTGGTACTATTAGATCCATGGCCAGTGTCCTGGGTCTACTGGACTGGGGCCCTCAGAGAACAAGTCTAACAATGTGGTGGGAGCTCTGATGGCTGGCAGAATGGTTATCTTGGCACCCAGAGAAGGGATGTGGAAGGAGAGACTGATGAACCCAGAGTAATGTGCTGTGAACCAGGGAAGGTTCAGATGCACTGGGCCTGCCAACCAGGTACTTCCTCTCCACTGTGCCCAGGTGATCCAGCAGTATTTATCAGGTGGCATGTGTGGCTATGACTTGGAGGGCTGCCCAGTCTGGTACGATATCATTGGGCCTCTGGATGCCAAGGGTCTGCTGTTCTCAGCCACCAAGCAGGACCTGCTCAGGACCAAGATGCGGGACTGCGAGCTGCTTCTGCAGGAGTGTGCCCGCCAGACCACAAAGGTGGGTAGATTGCTGTGGTTAGGGATGAGTTGATTGTGGTGGAGGTATTCAAGCAGAAGTAGAGATGTCATAAAAGGACGGAAGCATAATCTCTGGGCTGACGCCCAGACTTTTAGATACATATTTTTAAGCAAAACCTTTATTGGTACATTTTAGATTATACATAATGATCTCATTCACCACAGGGAATTTGTACCTGTACATGATATATCTTGCTTCTTTTTTCCCTTCCGCCAATTTTGATAGACTTTTAGATTTTTTTTTTTGCACCAGGGATTGAACTCAGGACCTTGCACTTGTGAGGCAGGTGGTGGCACCACTGAGCTGAATCCCCAGACCTTAGATTTTTGTAGATGTATAAAATTGAAAAGTTTTAAGAGTCTGACCTGATGTTGGCTGTTTTTTCTTTTGTGGTGCCAGGGATTGAAACAGGGCCTTAAGCACACTAAGCAAGTGCTTTACCACTGAGCTATGTCCCCTGTCTGCCAAACTTTTATTTTTATTATTATTTTTTTTTTTAAAGTAGGACGATTTTTCTTTTTGGTACCAGGGATCGAACTCAGGACCTTGCACTTGCAAGACAGGTGCGGGAACCACTGAGCTTAATCCCTGAGCTAAATCCCTGGCCTTGGAAGATATTTATTGATAGTAAAGCTCCTGAAGGGCAGCAGGGGTCCCCAGCTGGTAGCCCAAGACCTTGCTTTACAGAGAAGTTTTATAGGGTGAAACCCATGTGGGTACAACGTGGGCCACAGCCATGAACATCCAGTAAGGTTACCAGAATAGCCATTTAGGTAATGGTGGTCCAACTGGGAAGCAAGGCACGTAGCAAGCGAACAAGGATTTTCAGTAAGGGTGGGGGTCAGGGATATTTCCTGGAGAGACTGGGTTAAGACCTTGACCCCCCACCCAGGTGATTGATACCTATTTAGACTATCAATCACTGCTATTCATCCCCAGGGGAAGTACAAGGGTGTGTAGTTTCTCTCCTTTTACAATTCTGCCAAACTTTTATTTTGCAAAGCCAGGATTTAGAATGTCCATTATTGCCATAATTAATACCTCAAACTATAAGAGTGGCATAATCTCAGAATAAAAGGCAGTTCTTTAAAATGGAATAGTTTCAGAGCTGGGGATTTAGCTCAGTGGCACTGTGCCTGCGTTACAAGCACAAGGTTCTGAGTTCTATCGCCAGTAGCAAAAAAAAAAAAGAAAAGAAAATCCTCCCATAAAGGAAGTAAATCACTTTTTTAAAAAATGGGATAGCTTCATAAAAAACTATATTATTATTTTTCTCATTTGGGACTACTGAAGCTCTATTATGAAGCAACCCATTTGGGGAAGTATTGGGGTACCACTGGTAGATAAGCTCATATTCTGTGCTTCTCTAACTTTGTATTCAAGAGAGATTAGGACAGTGGATTCCCTTACTGACAAAGAGGAACAAGTTGGAGCTGCCACCCTGGCCTTCTTGCCTTCCTCTCAGCAGTTGTAAAGATTCAGTGAAACAGGCTAGACAAGGTGGTATATCCCTGTAATCCCAGCACTCAGGAGGCTGAAGCAGGAGGACTGCCTTGAGAGTTCAAGGGCAGTTTGGATTACCTAGTCAATCCCTGTCTCAAAAACAAACAAACAAAAAGATTCAGTGAACCAATGTAATAAAGTTTGGGGACTTTTTAACAGTGTCATCCTTAAATGACTATAGAGAGGCTACTGTATGCAGAGACCTCAAGAGGTCAGGGATGCAGGGGTCACTTTACCTATTTATACCCTCAGGCCTTGGATTGGACAGAGCACCTATGCCTGAGAGAGAAGTAGCTCAGGTCCAAGTGCTGCTCGAAGAGCACAAAGTGATTCAGAGGAAGAGGAAGGCCACCCTGTAGGACAGAGGGGACCTCAGACGTAATCTAGATCCACCCAGACACTTACGATAAGAACATGGAAACCTAGGCAGGGGGAACCACTTGGCTAGGCAACAATTCCAGCTGGGGTGATTATCAGTGATTATCTCCACTTGGGAAACTCAGGGCCTAGACTGTAGGTATGGGGCAACCAATATTGGCCCTGAAATAGGATGGGCTTCTGTAGTAGGACAGACTAATGTGACTTCCTGCTGTCTGTTGCCTACAGTTGGGGAAGAAAATAGAGACCATCACCATGATTTATGACTGTGAGGGCCTTGGCCTTAAGCATCTCTGGAAGCCTGCAATAGAAGCCTATGGAGAGGTAAGTGGCAGGGGGAGGGGCCCCTTGGCCAGGCTGCCCTGTGGGATGGGGACAAATTCTAGCCTGGAAGAAGCAGGGTCTCTCTCCCTGCCACAGAGGCCTCAGCTTGCTGGACCAGAGTGATTTTATTTCCACAGTTTCTCTGCATGTTTGAGGAAAATTATCCTGAAACAATGAAGCGTCTTTTTGTTGTTAAAGGTAAGTTGGGAATTTTCTGTAATGTGGCCAAATGGGAAAGAAGAACCAAGAATATTACTTGGGCCAGACTGTGGAGAGTAAAATAAGTGAGCCGAAGGAGGAGCTTAATACGTTCTGAAGACTGACACTGATGCTTTACAGTACAGTTTTTATTGCCTCCTTTGGCCTGACCCACTGTACAGATGGGAAGGTTGGACCTCAAATAGGTATTGTGGCCAGGCATGGTAGCACACATGGTAATCCCAGAACTCTGGGAGGCTGAGGCAGGTGGATCCCATGTTTGATCCCAAAATAAAAAGTGGGTTGGGGATGTGCTCAGTGAGAAGGCCCTGGGTTTAATCCTTAGTTCTAAAAACCAAAACAATCCCCCCCAACCAAAACCAAACCAACCAAACAAAAGCAGATACCATGCTCAGTCTCACACCCTGAACTGCCAATGTACGCTTCACAGCACCAAGGGACACGTGACTCAGGGGCACTGCTGAGAGGTGGGCTGTGGTTGAGTGTTAGGGACTGACTAGTGCTTTCTGGCCTCACGTGGCCTGGTCTCTCTTTCAGCCCCCAAGCTGTTTCCTGTGGCCTATAACCTCATCAAACCTTTCCTGAGTGAGGACACTCGAAAGAAGATCATGGTTCTGGGAGGTGAGTGGCTTAGACTTCTCACCTAGTTTGGGCTTTAGAGGCGTGACCATGACTGCCTGGACAAAGCTTCCCTCTGCTGGTTTGGTAGTAAGGGAACCCAGGAACAAGGGGCAAAGCTGGGGCCCTCTTGTCTGTTTTCGTAAGAACTCTTTTCTTGGGCCGGGGATTTAGCTCAGTGGTTTCGTCGCTTGCTGTGCAAGCGCAAGGACCCGAGTTTGATCCTTGGTACCAAAAAAAAAAGAGTCAACAAGAACTCTTTTCTCTCAGATTCTAGAAGCAAGAACTAGGCTCACCACTGTAGGTTCCAACATGAATGCAACTCCAGTCCTTGTTCTTAAGAAGCTTGCAGTATTATGGGAGGGAGACGACCCAGGGAGAAAAAGCAGAGCTATAAGCTAGAAGACACTAGAAAGAGCATTGAGAAGGTGCCATAGAAGTCACAGGAGCAAGGTTGCTTCTGGGTGCAGCTGTGGCTTTATGTGATAAGCACCTTCTCTGGGCCAGGCCTTGGGCTAGGTGCCAGGATACAAAGCTGAATAAGACAGAGACTCTTGCAGAGCTCTCAAGAAAGGGAGGCACAAATATTTATCAGTATAATATAGTTAATGGAAGAAGGGACCCATAAAGTTCCTGGAGGTCCTGAGCTGGAGGAGGCGATGCCTACCTAACCTCCATGATGTGGGATGAGCAAGACTCAGTCACAGGGAACAAGGCAGGAAGCTTCTTGGCAGAAAGAGGATCACTGAGCAAAGACCTTCCCATTTGTCATGGAATACAAGGCAGGTGTAGCAAGAGACGCTGTGGAGGGAGGCAAGAGCAAGGGTGGAGAGAACCCAGGACACCATGTTGAGAAGCTGTGACATGACTCCACATGCTCCAGGAACCAGAGAAGAGCTCTTGCCAGGGGAGTACTGAGATCAGATTTTAAACTGAGATGTTCTACTGGTAAGATCATAAAGGGCAAATACCAGTTTCCACGCTACTGCCATCCCTTAGATTTATGACATATTTAGGAAGTAAAATAACAGAACTCAATTGACTGAATGTAGGAGCTAAGAGAGAAAGAGAAATCTAGAATGGCTCCTTGGTATCTGGCATGAGTAACTGAGAAGATCATGATGGTAGTTCAGTGTGGGAAAACTCATGAATCCAGCTCGAGGTTGAGGAGTTTAACAAGACCTACTGCTGTCAGGAATACATGAGCCTGAAGCTTAGGAGAGAACTCCAGCCTGGAGATTTGGGGGTTACCAAATAAAGGCAGCAGCTAAAACCTTCGGAGCAGAGAGGATTTCCCAGGGAAGAGCAGAGGCTGAATCCTAGGGGAAATATCCAAGTTCTAGAGAAGGAGGAGCCCACCAGAGACAATGAGACATGATTAATGAGGCTGGAAGAGAAGTAGGTCAACAGGAAGTAGATAATGTAGAGAAATAGGAAGGACATGAAGGCACAAGGCAAAGTGTGACCCCAAACCCAAGAGGAAGACAAAACAGCAATCAAGTCAGCCAGAGATAGGCAGTTCTCTTTTGCTGGAGCAAGAAGTGGAGTGGTAGGAAGGAGAAGGGTAGAAAGGTAGATTGGGATGGGCTGGTGGAAGGCTTGATGCTACCCATGGAGTCAAACCAGGGGTAGATAATAGGGATTCTGAAGGTTTCTGAATGTTCACCTTTGGGCGACACACTGAAAGAGGTGATTTTTCAAATATGTGCTAGTGAGATGGGAGTGTGGCATGATGTCATCAGGGAAGTACAGGAATTCTGGGTTTTAATCCTAGGTCTGGTAGAGACAGATTCTGCTTCTCCCGCATTTTTTTTTTTTTTTTTTTTGAGACAGGGTCTATGTAGTCTGGGCCTTGAATTTGCTATGTAGCTGAAGCTGCCTTTGAACTCACAATCCTCCTGCCTGAGCTGAAGAGTGCTGGGATTACAGGTGTACAACACCGTGCCTGGCTTACATTTTGCTTCTTGGTGCCTCAGTTATCCTGTCTGTAAGATGGGAAGGATCTCCCTGGCCTGGTTCCAACTCTCCAGCTGAGCTGGGGGAAGAAAGAAAAAAAATCAGACCAAAAAAGGTTTTTATGATTTTTGGTTTTTCTGCTGCTACCACCCACCACGTGCATGAGATGGTTTGGTTTCCTGGCAGCCAAGCTATGTAGGAGGTTCAGTCTGTTCTTCTACCCACACCTAACACTCTTTCAACCAAGGAGGATGACATTCACTCTGAGCTGGTCACTGGAGCTTAGCAGTGCAGCTTAAATTACCCCCAAACCACAGACACTGTGTTCTCAGGAGCTGCATGGTCTTGGGTCCCTAAAAATCTGAGGGCAGGCAGATTCTGGACAGTGTCTGTGGGTTTCCAGTCAGCACTGCATGAGGACACTGGGAAGTCCCTCATGGCTTAGAGCTGGTGCCTATCATGAAAGGTTTCCTGTACCAAAATATTGTACTTGGCTGATAGTTCCTTGCCAATTTAGATTGGTGAAGAAGCGCTTTTTGGCAATGAATGTACTAGACTCAAACTCTCCTGGTCAGGAGGACTTGGTTACAAAAAGCAGCTAGATTGCCCAAGACAACAGAAACAGAAATGAGATTGGGGCTGGGGTAAAGCCAAAGGAACCTACTTAAGGGTTCACTCTGCGGTGATGTATTCATTCACAAAGTCACAACTGAGCGTAATTAGGTACAGGAAAAAGGTCAGAGTCCAGTATGACCAGGACAGAGCCTCTGGATTCAAGCCTTCCTGCCTGGTACACATGCTGTTCCCTCTGCATGGAACTCCCTTCCCTGCTCTGTTTCCCTCCTTCTCGTACTTTAATATCTGAAGACTGCTTTTATTTTGGTACTGGGGATCGAACTCAGGACCTTGCGCTTTCAAGGCAGGCGGTGGTGGCACCACTGAACTAAATCCCCGGCCCCTTGTACTTTAATATCTGTATCACCTTCCTGGGGGTTGATAATAGTGAGTGTAGTATACCTACAGTTTACAAAGCCTTCTCAATTATACTAAGTTCATTGCACTCCCACTGTAACCCTGCAGGGCAGGAAGAACTAGCTCAAGATGAAGTGACTTCCTAAGGTTATTTAGCTGGCCAGAGGCAAGGAAAACAACCTAGATCTCCTGAGTCTTGGTCCAGGGAGGACCATCCTCTGGGTGACGGCTCTTACCAATCTCCTTGCAGGACTGTGTGTGTGTTACATGCTCCTAATGCCCCTTTTTAAGGGGAGGGGACAGGCATAAATTTTTCTTCTTCAGTGTAGACCACCAGGGATGTGGTGAAATCTTGCCTAATGGTGACACATTTCTGTCCTACCCAGCAAACTGGAAGGAGGTTTTACTGAAACATGTCAGCCCTGACCAGTTGCCTGTGGAGTATGGAGGTACCATGACTGACCCAGATGGAAACCCCAAGTGCAAATCCAAGGTATGGGCCACCAGAGGCTGGAGGTAAGCAGGGAAGCCTGGTCTAAATGCACAGCCCAGCTGATCCCATGCTCTGCCTCTAGATCAACTATGGGGGTGACATCCCTAAGAAGTATTATGTGCGAGACCAGGTGAAGCAGCAGTATGAACACAGTGTGCAAATTGCCCGGGGCTCCTCCCACCAAGTGGAGTATGAGATTCTCTTCCCTGGCTGTGTCCTCAGGTAGGACCGGGCCCTTTCTTCAGACCTGAACCTTTCATTCATAGGTGCCATGGGTGGGAGGGGGTAGAAGAGGCCTTGGTGCCAGAGAGATGCATGTATACAGATGGAATTATGTCTAAATGGGTTGATGTTACCCGCAGGTGGCAGTTTATGTCAGAGGGAGCAGATGTTGGTTTTGGGATTTTCCTGAAGACCAAAATGGGGGAGCGGCAGCGGGCAGGGGAGATGACAGAAGTGCTGCCCAACCAGAGGTACAATTCCCATCTGGTCCCTGAGGATGGGACCCTTACCTGCAGTGATCCTGGCATCTGTAAGTATCTTTGTTTTGGCAATACCTTGAAGTCCCTGTCCAGCCTTCTGCCTGGGAGGTTCCTCTTCCTCCATGGATTTGGGCTCTTGGTGTTAGACCCGGAAGTGGAACTCTACCAGTTCAGCCCTCTCTTGGTGTAGAAAAGTAAGCTTGGAGAAGTGCAGTGACTTGTTCAAGGTGACCCAGGTGGTTAACAGAAGGGGCTAACAGGGCCGGAGATTTAGCTCAATGGTTCCAGCACCTGCTTTGCAAGTGCAAGGTCCCAAGTTCGATCTCTGGTACCAAAAAAAAGAAGGGGCTAACAGGTTAATATACAGGTGAGTCACAGTAGTAGGTGAGCACAGGGGTTCCTCTTTCGGGCCCAGGCCTCACTAGGTCTGTGACTACAGCCAGATGTTTCTTGGGGATCCTTGCTTCTATACGGGCCAGAGTCTACCATACGGTAGACTTGGCTGCCTGGCTGTAGGGATCACAGGGTGTGAGCAGTGTGCTGAAAAGGGACCAGCCTTGGGCTGGAATGCAGTTCAGTGGTACAGCACTTGCCTAATATGCGTGCCACCCTGGATTCAATCCCCAGCACCACAAAAACAAAAAACAAGAAAACCAGCCTTGACCTCTCTGAGTGTCACTTATCTCCAAGTTGACCAAAGAATGGGCACAGAATGTAAACAGGAAGTTTACACATGAAGAAATCAGAATGGCAAATACACATTTGAAAAAGTGTTTAACCTCACTTAACTTTGTATCGATTAAAATTCCCTTTGACTCAGAAGTTCTACTTCTGGAAATGTATCCTACAGAACTATTTACACAAATACACAAAGACAAGGATGTTATTGGCAGTATGAAAAAGTGGCAGTAAACCAAATGGCCATCAGGTCTTATTAAATATAGTCCAGCCATACAATGGGATACTCTGTTGTCATTAAAGAGACTAAGTTGGTATGTAAAATATCAGATACACAATGAACAAATAAACATAAAACATGGTATATGGAATATATTTAACTTTGGTTTTTTTAAAAAAAGCGTGTACCTGTAATCTCAGCACTGGGGAGGCTGAGGCAGGAGGATTGGCACGAGTTTAAGGCCAGCCTGGGCTACACAGTGAGTTCAAGCCTAGCCTAGGCTACATATCCAGACCCTGTCTCAAAAACCAAGAAAAAAAAGTGTGTACACTAAAAAGAATTCTGGGGAATCTATTCCTTTTTTGTGTATATGTGGTACTGGGGATTGAACCTAGGGTCTTCAAACTGAGCTACATCTCCAGCCTTTTTAAAATTTTTAGACAAGCTCTCACTAAATTGCTAAGTTGCCCGGGCTGGGCTGGAAATTGAACTCCTTCTGCCTCAGCCTCCCAGAATATCTATGTTAACTCTGAACAGTAATTCTCTCATGAGTGGTAGAATGCTTATAGAGGGCTTTCATTTCTGCGCATGATATATATTGCACTCACAATTACATTTATAAGCAGAACAAGCATGCACACACATACATTCACACACGCGTACACCCATGTCTGCCAGTCGAATTTCCAGTTTCCTTTCTGGCAGAGCCACAGGGTTGGGGATGGAAAACCAAGGAGAGCTGGCCCTTTTTTGATCAGAATGAAGTTGGACCAGACTATTGACTGGTTGCCTGGCCTTAGGCAAGGGATTTTACCTCTTTGAATTTCAGTTTTCTAATTACTACAATGGAGATCTTACAGGGATACCCAATGATTACATGGGATGAGGTCTCTAAGGCACTTAAGTGGTACAATGCCTGGCATATAGCCAGCACTCAATACTTGGTGACCATCATTATTATTATTAGAGTAAGTGGTGGAGGGGGACAGGCCATCCTGGAGATGATGCTGCAAGATGGGAGAAGCCCTGTACCCCATGTCTAAGGCACCACTGGCCAATCTGAACTCATCCCACAAATGTCTTAGCCTCTGTGCTTGTCCACAGCATCACCCAATCTGAAATTCAGCCTCCCTCACAACCCAGCAACTGTCAGTCTCTCCTGCCCCCTCCCCACAGATGCTCTGTGGCACAATATGGCTCCCCAGGGAGGGTGAGTATTCTCTTAGTGAGGAGCCAGGTGCCTGGGGAGGTGTATACTGGGTGCTTCAGCAAGAACAAGGCTTAGCACCAGCTCTGACACTGTCACCCATTTTGTACACATAAGACAATTTTTTGTTTTTGTTTTTTGGTACCAGGGATCGAACTTGGGACCTTGTGTTTGCGAGGCAGGCGGTGGAACCACTGAGCTAAATCCCTGGCCCTGACAATTTTTTTTTTTTTTTCTAGTACCAGGGATCGAACATAGGTCCTTATGCTTGTGAGACAGGCACTAGAACCACTGAGCTAAATCCCCGGCTCCAATTTTTCTTTTTTTTTTTTTTTTTGGTACCCGGGATCGAGCTCGGGACCTTGCGCTTGCAAGGCAGGCAGCGGAACCACTGAGCTAAATCCCCAGCCTCCAATTTCTTTTTTTTAAAGAACAGGGAAGCTGAAGTATAGAGAAAGAGTGTTCTCTTTCTCACAAAGTAACTTATGTAGACCACACAAGACACCAGAAACTCCTAGAGTCCCAGTGTGGGAACTTTTGCCCATAGACTGTCCTAGAGATGATCAGGACAACTGTCCTTGATGTGACAAAGGACAGAGTAGAGTCCCAGACCAGAGAAGTAAGTTCCCCAAGGACAATGAGTCAGTAGGAGACTCCAACCCATTTTTGTAACTTCACCTATTCCCTCTCTCTTGTCCTTACTATCTGTGGGATGACAGCCCGAGAAAGGACCATGAACCTTTGAACATGATTGGGCTTAGGTTTGCAAATCCCAAAATTATTTTAGCTCCTCTTGAATACCTTTCTGACAAGAACTTTTCTTTACTCACTTGTGATCAGCTTGTTGCTCATTCCCAGGAGGGGCAGAGTCAGGCCACAGCATCCACCCTCTTTCCCCCAAGCTCACCTGTGAGAAGGCAGTGCTTTTGGAGACCCAGGTGACCTGCTACAACACAATCATCCAGGGGGGAAATTTAACCTCTGGGTGCACCACCCCCAGTTGCAGGAGTCCTGTAATCTCCTGGCCTCCAGTCCTTGATCAAGTGTACTAAATGACCAAGGAGGGGACCAAAGTTTGAACTGATCTCACTTTTTTTCTCTTACCTAATATCTACTGAGAGCCTACTGAGTATGGAACAGAAAGATTCAGAGAAAAGAGCTAGGGTCTGTCCACCAAGAGACCTGCAGAACCCAAACCCTGCAGACCCAAAACCCTGCAAAGGTGACATGGTGCTGCTAGATAGTGCTGAGGTGGAAAGAGCCCAGCAGGAACAAGGAGGCCTACTTCCTGAGGAAGTCCAGCCTTGCCACCAATTCTCTGAGTGTTTGAACAGGTGTCTTTTTTTTTTTGGTACCGGGAATCGAACTTGGGTCCTTGCGCTTCCAAGGCAGGCAGCGGAACCACTGAGTTACATCACCGGCCCTGAACAGGTATCTTTTAAGAATTAGATTTGACTGGGCCAGGGATATAGCTCAGTGGCAATGTGCCTGCCTGGCAAGCGAAAGGTCCTGAGTTCAATCCCTGGTACTGCAGGGAAAAAAAAAAAAAAAAGAATTAGATTTGACTTTCCTTCTTAAAATAGAGTAGTAGACTAGAGAAGATCTTTTTGTTTGTTTGTTTTTGGTACCGGAGATCGAACTAGGGATCCTTGTCCTTGCTGGGCAGGTGGTGGAACCACTGAGCTAAATCCTCGGCCCTAGAGAAGATCTTAATCTGGGGCCCATGGACTCTCCAGAGCAGTGGTTCTAAACTCAAAGGCCCAAATATTCCCCTTTTATAACTAATAAGAGTGTAATGGCCTCTTTACTGTTCTGAAATGAAATTCATAGATAATATAACCCACCCATATGCATAACTTAAGTATCAGTGTAATGTAACAGTAATATGGAGAAATAAAATAAAGCTCATTTGGGGATATATATATATTTCTCTCAATATTGGGGACTGAACCCAGGGCCTTCACATTGAAGTATATTCCCAGCACTTTTTTTTTTTTTTTTGGTACTGGGGATCGCACTTGGGACCTTGCACTTACAAGGCAGGCAGCAGAACCACTGAGCTAAATCCCTGGCCCTCCCAGCACTTTTTAAACTTTTTTGAGCTATGTGTGGTGGTGCACACCTATAATCCCAGCACCCAAGAGGCTGAGGCAGGATTGCCATGAGTTATCCTGTCTTAAAAACAATTTTTTTTGGAGGCAAGTTCTCATTAGTAATTAAGTTGCCCAGGCTGGGCTTTAACTTTTTTTTTTTTGGTACTGGAGATCAAACTCAGGACCTTGCACTTGTGAGGCAGGCGAGGTACCACTGAGCTAAATGCCCAGCCCTGGGCTTTAACTTTTGATCCTCCTGTCTCAGCCTCCCAAAGTGCTGGGATTATAGATATGTGCCACCACACAGTGGCTCTAGAATATTTATTTTTTCATTACATAAAGGAGAGGACTAGCTTTTACCTACTGCTCCACTTGACTTCAGACAGTATTTTTCCAATTGGGAACCACTGCCCCAGAGGGACTGTGAAAATCTCCAGAGGGTCTGAAATTGTATATCTTCATCAGATTTTCAAGTGGAGGGGGGGAGTTACCCAATAAAAGTTGAGGAGCTCTGGGGCCAGGGATTTAGCTCAGTGGTTCTAGTGCCTGTCTTGAAAGCACAAGGTCCCAAGTTCGAACCCTGGTACCAAAACAACAACAAAAAAGTTGAGCTCTACTCTAACCTGGAAGATCTGAGTGCTCCACGAGCCTTAGTTAAAAATGAACTATGCAGGGCCAGGGATTTAGCTCAGTGATTTCACAGCCTGCTGCGCAAGCCTAAGGATCCGAGTTCGATCCTGGGTACCCCCCCTCCCCCCCCAAAAAACTGCAAAAAAAAATACAATAAAATTTTTAAAAAATTTAAAAATGAATCACACAAACTGGGTGTGGTGGTGTATGCCTATAATCCCAGCACTCAGGAGGCTGAGGCAGGAGGATCACCACAAGTTTGAGGCCAGCCTGAACAACAGGGCGAGACCTTATCTCAAAATCAGATCAAAACAAAACAGCCTTCAGACTAGAGGTGCAGTAACTCTACTTCCCTGGGGCCTGTGTCTCTAACCTCTTCCTTGCTTCTGAGGGCAGAATACCCCACCACCACCACCAGGGATCTAACTCAGGACCTTGTGGTTGTGAGGCAGGTACGGTGCCACTGAGGTAAATTTCTGGCAGGCAGAGTATCTCATTAGGCAAAGTCACCTCAATCCTGGTATTTGGTCTAAGGAGACCAAAGGACTGGTCCTTTACCATGACTGCCTCTGGTAGCCAAGGCTGTGTTTTCCAGGCAGAGAGAGGTTCACCCTTTCCAGAAGGCCTACTGGTCCTTTAGGACCTCTGGAATAGAGAAAACAGATGGCTGATACTAGTGGGTGGTGTACCCACCACTGGTCTAAGCTGTGCATTTTATCCAGGGTCAGGAAAGAGGAAAGGTGAGGTCTTAGGCTAAATATACAGGTGGGTTTTGTTTTGTCTTTTTTCCTGCTGGGAAAAGTAGAGAAGACCAGCATAGGGAAAGGGCAGAGCTAGGATTTTTGTTTTCATGCTTAGTTCTCTCCAAGGGATATTTTACCGAAATGGAACAGCTTCTCAGAGAAACAGGGTTAGATAAAAAGCAAGTCTGCTCCACTGCCAAGGCTTGGAAGTTCTTTGTCAACTGCATGCCTACTTCTTATTTCCTCCTCTTGGAGGAAATGACTGCTAACAGGTCTTGTCTATTCTACCAAATATCTTCCATCTCTTTGGAAGTATAACATTACTCTAATAAACAGGGCATGGACACACACAGACACATTCACAGGAATTTTGTCTGTCATTCAGTGTATGCTGGAGAGAAGTCTGAAACTGTAAAACTCATAGAATTTGAGAAAAACTTTCCTTCTGAGGCACTGTCACCATCAAAGAGAACTGTTAGTGTAAACAGACAAGTAGCAAAGTCAAAAATATATATATTTTTACATATATAGTAATAAAAAATGTTATAAACTATTTACAAACTATTCTAGAACTTGCTTTTCTGGCTTTAGGATCTATTGTAGACATTCCCCTGGTTGTTAATACAGAGCCAAACTTTTAAAAAAATTTTTTTTAAATTACTTAATTTTTGCCATGCTAGGGATTGGACCAGGGGGTCTTTACACCGAACTACATCCTCAGCCTTTCTTTTTTTTTAATATTTTATTTTGAGACAAGGTCTTGCTAACTTAACTAAATTGCCCAGGCTAGGGCTGGGGACTTAGCTCAGTGGTTCCGCCACCTGCCTCGCAAACGCAAGGTCCTGAGTTCGATCCCTGGTACCAAAAAAAAAAAAAAAAAAAGAATTTATAATGTAAATTGCCCAGGCTAGGCTTAAATTTGCAGTCCTCTTGCCTTAGCCTCTCAGTGCTGGGATTATAGGTGCACATCGACATATCTGTTTGCTCTTTCCTTTTAAATCAGCATAGTATTCCATTATATGGATTACAACATAAATTGTTTAAGCAGGTTCTCTTTGATAAACATTGAGTTTTCCCAGTCTTTTATTATTATTATTTATTATTATTTTTTTTTGGTACCGGGGATCGAACTCGGGTCCTTACGCTTGCAAGGCAGGCGGCGGAACCACTGAGCTAAATCCCCGGCCCCCGTCTTTTATTATTATCAGCAGGTCTGTAATGACCACTCATCTACTTATCTTCCTTGGAATAAATTCCTTATTCACAAAGAATGCACATTTTACCTTTTCCCAGCAACTGAACAAGGCTGGGCTTCCCAGGGCCCAAATCAACCGGGACAAGGGCAGGAATGCAGACCAGAGGGAAATTCTAGCTTCATCTTTTCTCACTGAGTGACATAAGAGACTTCCTTTTTATCAGATATAAAACAAAGCTAATGCTAGGGCTGGGGATTTAGCTCAGTGGTTCCACTGCCTGCTTCGCAAGCACAAGGTTTTTGTACCAAGAAAACCCACAAAAAACAAAGCTAATGCTGAACTCAGAGTTGTGAGCAAGAATGAGATTATATAGATTACCAAGCCAGTGCTGCAACACATAAATAGCTATTATTATTATTACTACCTTTATAACTACTGCTGCTGCTTACAAATTCTACTCCCCCTTCATAGCCCAGTTCAAGCTTTTTACCTTGGGAGAAGCCACAATTTCGGTCTAAGGGGACCTATGCTTCCAAATTGTTATAGATATTATTCTGTCACTCACTGGCATTTCACATATTCTGTCTCATATGCTTTTCACATGAATGTCTTGTCATTGAAGCTAAGACTAAGTTTTCGAAGGCCAAGAACTAGACCAGGTTTCAGAAGGTAGCTTATACCACCTTCATGCCCTTACTGTCATGCTGCCTTGCTCAGCCAATAAAAATTGCTATCCCTGAGTGCTCTGTCAGAACCACCTGAATGTCTGGTCTTCTGCCTCCCCTTAGATGTCTTGCGGTTTGACAACACCTACAGCTTCATTCATGCCAAGAAGGTCAGTTTCACTGTGGAGGTCCTGCTTCCAGACAAAGCCTCAGAAGAGAAGATGAATCAGCTGGGGGCAGAAACCTCCAAATAATGCCTTCTCCTCCAGGCCTGGCCCCAGTGTCGGGTTTCCTTGTAGCAGTCATTTTTTCTACAACCCTGCAGCCCAAAGAAACTGGGCTGGAGGGAAGATTTCTGGCTGGATCTGGGAACTTTTGCATCAGAATTAGGAAGAGGGCAAGTAGCTGGAGGGGCTCTGCTTGCTTCTCAAATTACCAGGGAGTCCTCAAGGGCTGGTCATAGTGGTAGGATCTATCAGTCCTGAAAACCTTGTCAACTTTACCTTTCCAGTGACGGCCGAGGCAGGGAGTGGGGTACCACTGGGCAGCAGCAGGGAAGAAATTAGAAAAAGGGGGAGAGATTGAGACCCAATACTTCAGGGAAGCCAGCTGCAGAGGAGAAACGTGCTCCCAAATGAACATGGAAGTTGAGATCGTAATAAAAGAAAGCAAGGTAGCTGGTTGCTAGAGTTATGGTGGGGACTGGAAGCTCTTCCAAACTTTTTTTATCATTGAGGCCGAAGTATCTTTTGGCTTTTACCAAGTTTCAGGAGTGGCCCAAGTCAGCACCGATCTTCCCATTGGGAGGTAGGCAGGCATGCCTCTCTCTCACCTTGAGAACTTCAGCAACTTCTGGGCTGCCTCTTTAATTTTTTTTTTTTTTTGTACCGGGGATCGAACTCGGGTCCTTGAGCTTGCGCAGTAGGCAGCGAAACCACTGAGCTAAATCCC